AGATACCCTGGTTGTTTATTCTTTAAGAAGTTACTTATTTCAATTATATGGGATGTATTCACTTTCTTTCGGTGATGAAGGACTAATAGTCTCGAAGGCCTACTTATAAACTTACTTATAAAAATAAGTAATTTATCGATTTTAGTACATAATTTTGCTTCCTCAACAATCCCACCAAAAAATTTGATATTGGAAAAAGCCTGGCCTTCTTTGAAATTTATATCTGACCTCTGACTCATAACATTCGTGTCAACGTGGCATAATGGTTAACATTTCAAGATTACTCGCTGCACTTTCATGGTTCGAATACCGCTGGGAGTGTTGCTAAGACCTAGGCGAGGTCAAAGCTGCAGTCCACAGTGGATGAGAACACCTTTTGGAAAAGTTATTCTATGCGAAATCCACTGGAAATGTCAGCTCTACTCATATCATTGTGGGATAATTTAACTACCAGTCATCCATCATCTTTAACGAAGTAGTGTGAATACATGCCATATAAATGATTTACTGCTAGTCTCGAAAACCTACTCGTAAACGAAAAATTTTCTCTGCTGTCTGCTTCAAACTAAATTTTATCCCTTTTATTTCCTTAATCTCTTATAGCGTCGAAACACCATTCGCCAGGACCTCCGATCGCGTCCCATCCGCCGCCTTTTCGTAGACGAGCTCTACAATCAATTGGTTCCTCCTCTAACTTCTTCAGGTTTTGATGGTGACTTTTGTATCGATCCTCCCATGGAGCGACGTATCGAGTATGAGCGCCGAGCTCTATTGACACTAGAACAGTTTGACTTGATTGTTGATTTGCTAGATGAGGCCTTACGTCATGAGATGCAGTCCGAAGAGTGCGGTATTGCGCCTACAGTCCTTGAGCTTGGCACTCGTTTCTGCACCGTAAATAATCTTGGTTATATTCTCCACTTGCTTATTTCTCACTTTATGTGTATCTCTTGAGCTATCTACCTTTAAGTGTACAGGGCTGCCCATATATATATATATCCCATAACTCTCCATATAACTTGCGAGTTTTATCAAAATTCTACATTTATTTTTTACCTCATAATCAGCTCTTTTGTCCTGAATGTTGTGTTGAATGTTCATTAGCAATATATTTTCCTAATTAACTTTCCTACAGCAACTGAATAATCTTCGTTATTATGCAAATATGACGCATCAGCTTCAACGCCACGCAATTTGGGAGCAGATGACCTTTTGGGAAAACCAGTTCAATGAACAAGTTAATAGTCAAATTCGCCAAATGTACCTCCACTTTTCTGAACAGAAATATGATTCTAATCTGATTAACCCATCCTCGGTTGTAGAATATGCAGGTAGGTCTTCTCATTTTCACCATTGTTGTTTTTTCCATGCCATTTATATATATTTTATCATTTAAACTTTTCTGAAATTTTTCCCCATTGGAATTCATTTAAAGATCTGCATTTTTTTCTTCATGTTCAATTATTATTGTACTCGTTACTTCATTTACTAGGCTCACTTCCGTTTATAGTGAAAGTGCATTATGAAAAGATATGCAAGTTTATCTTGCTAAAAGACGACAGTGAATTTCCACGGGCCAGTTGTGTGTTGGTTTACTCGATCATTCTGCGTCAGCCAGAATCTTCGAGTAAAACCAACAGAGAAATCCGTCATTGCCTTCTCGCACTATCAACTTTCAAGTCTTTTCATCACGCACTTTTGCTCTAATGGAAAGGGAGCTCAACGCATTTAAACCAAGCGATTCTTTGGAACCTCAACTTTATTTGCAATTTTTACATATTACTTTTCTTCCATAGTTTCTATAAATAATTTGTTTAATATTTCAAATGCTTATTTCATGTGTTAGCATCAACTCTTAAATATAAGTACTTAATGAGTATTACTTTGTTGCGTATACCTACCAATTAGGTCAGCCGTATCCAGAATCTAAAAATTACGAGGCTTTTTCTGATTGTTCTTCTCTTCATGGATCTCTTCCTGAAGCAAGTAACTTAGAATCTTGCAACAGACCTCCTTCTGATGTAGATGTGGAGTCCAAAACGCGGGAAGTTATTGTCCCCGT